GTTTATCGGATTCGGAGTTGCGTGAGAAGACTGATGCGTTAAAGAAGCGAGCTCAGCAAGGAGAATCCATGGATTCACTTCTGCCTGTAATGTTTTTTTGTTTTCTTTCAACTCTTCGTTTCAGTTTTTTGGTTTGATACGCAAAATTTCGATTCAACTGTGGGATTTCAAATTTCAGGAGGCATTTGCTGTTGTGAGAGAAGCTTCTAGGAGAGTTCTTGGACTTAGACCTTTCGATGTGCAATTGATAGGTAATACAATCTCTGTGGACTGTCACTGTTACGAGTGTTGAGTGAATATTTCTATTTTGGTTTGATTACAGGTGGTATGGTTCTTCATAAAGGAGAAATAGCAGAAATGAGAACTGGTGAAGGGAAAACGCTTGTAGCTATTTTACCTGCTTATTTGAATGCATTAAGTGGGAAAGGTGTTCATGTGGTTACTGTCAATGATTATCTTGCTCGAAGAGATTGTGAATGGGTTGGTCAAGTTCCTCGGTTCCTTGGATTGAAGGTTGGTCTAATCCAACGTATGTCTCTCTTTCTCTCAACTCCTTGTTTATGTCTCTTTCATTTTTCGTCTCTTAATTCGTAAAAATTTAACTTCCAGATTGGTCAATGTAATTATCATTCACAAACTTTTTACTTTGGCAGAGAATATGACACCTGAACAGAGAAAGGAAAACTATTTATGCGATATCACATATGTCACCAACAGTGAGCTTGGATTTGATTATCTAAGAGACAATCTTGCCACGGAAAGTAATTCTTGCATTATTTTCTCCTTTGATTCTGGTTTATAGTATTGTATGAAGTTTATTTGAATGTCTTTGCTGAGTTAGTTACTGAATGTACAGAGTGTGGAGGAGCTTGTCTTGAGGGATTTCAATTATTGTGTAATTGATGAAGTTGATTCCATACTTATTGACGAAGCAAGGACTCCTCTGATTATCTCTGGGCCTGCAGAGAAACCTAGTGACCAATATTACAAAGCTGCAAAGATTGCTTCAGCCTTTGAGCGGGATATACATTACACTGTAAGACTCCTCAGCTATTCTGTATTTTGTGTGAGAGTTGGCCATACATCTTTGAAATTTAACTGCTCACTGAGTTTTCGGTGTGGCAGGTTGATGAAAAGCAAAAGACTGTTTTACTAACGGAACAAGGTTATGAGGATGCAGAGGAAATCCTGGACGTGAAAGATTTGTATGATCCTCGTGAACAATGGGCGTCATATTTACTTAATGCCATTAAGGCAAAAGAACTTTTCCTCAGAGATGTGAACTACATCATCCGAGCAAAGGAGGTTCTTATCGTGGATGAGTTTACTGGTCGTGTAATGCAGGTACTTGTTTATATCATTTGCCTATTGATACGTAATATTCATCGTAATTAGAAATAATTATCATTCATTTTTAGCTATCCCAGTGGCTACAGCTGCGAACAAAATTCAGGCCACAAGAAAAACATAGAGAAAAAAAATTATGTAGTAATCCACTTAATAAGTCGTGTCTTTTGTAGGGAAGACGTTGGAGTGACGGGCTGCATCAAGCAGTTGAAGCAAAAGAAGGCTTGCCAATTCAGAATGAATCTATTACATTGGCATCAATTAGTTATCAAAATTTCTTTCTGCAGGTTGGTAATGCTGGCTTTCCACCTTTTGATTAAAGTTACTTCAAGATTTTAATGCTTAATTTCTACTATGGCGTAGTTCCCAAAACTTTGTGGGATGACTGGAACTGCATCGACGGAGAGTGCAGAATTTGAGAGCATATACAAGCTCAAAGTTACAATTGTACCCACAAATAAACCCATGATAAGAAAGGTTTGTCTCGTATCTTATGTTCTGAACTTGCACCTCAAAATTCAGACTGGTGGTTCTTTGGAATTTTAGGCCTTCTAATGAGATCTGTTAAAGTGAGAAAATGTTAAGCATCCATGCTAGCTCTGAGAGCACATTGTATGATACACTATCTTTCAATTTAGTGTTTTCTCTTTTCGAGCAAAAAAAGTATCTCTTTCCCAATCTAATTCGTTGTTAAGTCACTTGCAGGATGAGTCAGATGTGGTTTTCAAGGCAGTCAGTGGTAAATGGCGGGCAGTAGTAGTCGAGATTTCTAGAATGCACAAGACAGGTAGGGCTGTGCTAGTTGGTACAACCAGCGTTGAGCAGAGTGATGAACTATCTCAACTACTGCAGGAAGCTGGAATAACTCATGAGGTAAGGCTTTCATGTTATTTTGATTAGAAAAAATCTTCGACATGTATCTTACCAAAATAAATTCGAAATTTATGACTGCAAGTATTTAGTCCAAAATCATCTTTGGCATTTAAACAAATAATATTTCCTGTACAAGCAAACTGACAGATGATGTTATATGTTTGTACAAAAAGGTCCTCAATGCAAAGCCAGAAAATGTGGAGAGGGAAGCTGAAATTGTAGCACAAAGTGGCCGTTTAGGGGCAGTAACAATTGCCACAAATATGGCAGGGCGTGGGACAGACATAATTCTTGGTGGAAATGCGGAATTTATGGCACGTTTGAAGCTCCGTGAGATACTTATGCCCAGGTATCATGCCTGTAGCACTTTTTAAGATGTAATTCAGATTAATAGTACAGCAAGCATGATTTTAAGCCTCTAATAGTATATTTTGTGCACGTCATATAGATCCTTTATCCACCGATGAGTTCATAGTTTCTTTTTATCTGAAGTTTTGTTACGTTTTAATTGTTACTACAGAGTGGTAAAGCCTACTGATGGTGTTTTCGTATCTGTAAAGAAGGCCCCTCCCAAGAGGACGTGGAAGGTTTGGCCTTTTCAGGGTTTCTGTTTTTGGTTTAAAGCATGGGTTATACCGAGCTAAGTAGACAGGAAACTTTACAATTCAGGTGAATGAGAAGTTGTTTCCATGCAAATTGTCAAATGAGAAAGTAAAGCTAGCTGAGGAAGCGGTACAATTAGCTGTAGAGGCTTGGGGCCAGAAATCGTTAACTGAGCTTGAAGCAGAGGAGCGTCTATCTTATTCTTGTGAAAAGGTGAACAGCTGAGACCTACAACTCTATCTTGATATCTTAACTTAGGTATCCGAGTCGTAAATCTTTGCTCTTGTTCTCAGGGTCCTGTCCAGGATGAAGTCATAGGTAAACTGAGGAATGCATTTCTTGAGATAGCGAAAGAATATAAGGGCTATACGGATGAAGAAAGGAAGAAGGTTGGTTCTGTTATAGCATAACAGTATGTGAATCTCTGTTCAGGCGTCTGTTGTTGATCTTTTATCTGCTGAATTGCTACAGGTTGTGGAAGCTGGTGGGCTTCACGTGGTGGGAACAGAGCGGCATGAATCACGCCGAATAGACAATCAGGTTTCCTTCAAATGTTTGATGCCAGGAGATTTATGGTTGATTGAAGTTCCTTTTTTAGTGAAGTAATTCTTCTTGAATTTGTCTTGTTGCCCTCATACAGTTGCGTGGACGGAGTGGCCGGCAGGGAGATCCTGGAAGTTCCCGGTTCTTCCTTAGTCTTGAAGATAACATATTCCGCATTTTCGGGGGAGATCGGATTCAGGTGACTATCTAAAATTTATTCATTCTTCTGGAGAATAGTCACCTGAATGTAGTTGCCATTCAACTCTTTAGGGTATGATGAGAGCATTCAGGGTGGAAGACTTACCGATTGAATCCAAGATGCTTACTAAAGCTCTAGATGAAGCTCAGAGAAAAGTCGAGAATTACTTCTTTGACATCAGAAAGCAATTATTCGAATTTGATGAAGTTCTCAATAGCCAAAGAGATCGTGTCTACACAGAGAGAAGGCGTGCTCTTGTGTCAGACAGCCTCGAGCCTCTGATTATCGAGTATGCTGAATTGACAATGGATGACATTCTAGAGGTAAGCCGTTTGAATTGATGCCAGTAAAACGAGTTCTTTCATTCCATCGAGTCTCTTTATACTGACAGTTGATACTCGTTTACCATCAATAGGCAAACATTGGTCCGGATACTCCAAAAGAAAGCTGGGATCTTGAAAAGCTCATTGCGAAAGTTCAGCAGTAAGAATTATATATCTCTAGAGAAAACTCTAACAGAGATAATAGCCACTTGGGGTTGTTTTAACACCAGAACTTCCCGTCTCTTAGGTACTGTTATCTGTTGAACGACCTCACTCCAGATTTGCTGAAAAGCCAAGGATCAAGTTATGAGGGATTGCAAGACTATCTCCGTGCTCGTGGCCGCGATGCATACTTGCAGAAAAGAGTAAGTTCAATTGATTTAAAAGTCTTTTTCACATTGGTATATAAGATAACAAAAGCTGTGGTTTTTGGTTGATTAAGCGTGTTTTTGATTCGATAGGAAATCGTGGAGAAACAAGCACCAGGGCTAATGAAAGATGCGGAACGATTCTTAATCTTGAGCAATATTGACCGTTTATGGAAAGAACACCTTCAAGCACTCAAGTTCGTGCAACAAGCTGTCGGGCTTAGAGGATATGCGCAACGGGATCCACTCATCGAGTATAAGCTCGAAGGATACAATCTATTTCTGGAAATGATGGCTCAAATAAGGAGAAATGTTATTTACTCCATATATCAGGTTCTTGATTAAATCCAAATCTCTGTTCTCAACACTTACACTAAGCCGTTTCAATATGTGATCCCTTTTTTTTTTTTTMTCGTGGCAGTTTCAACCAGTAATGGTAAAGAAAGATCAAGAGAAGAAGTCTCAGAACGGGAAACCGAGCAAACAAGCGGATAATGTTAGCGAGAAGCCTAACCAAGTTAGTGTCGCAGATGAGCCATCTTCAATTGCTAGCGCCTAAGAGCGGATTAGATCTTTTTTTTAGTACAAGAACGGGAATTCGTAAGTAGAAAAGAGCTTGATGGTTGATGGATACGATCGAAAGAATCCAAACTTGTTGTCAATCTCATTTATATCTGTATATACTACAGTGAGAAAATATCACATGAAAAAACAGATCAAAGAAAACTCTCTTCTCTTACAGGATCAAGAATCTCTTGGAACGATTTCTTGTTGGAGTAGTTGGTTGAGATCGTTTCCTCTCGCCTTGACGCCAATGGCTAGAGCCGTCTTGAGCTTAACCAACTCTCCTAATCTGAGAGAAGCTCTTCTGTTGTCTCTGATATAGAGAACCGGAACATTCCTCGAAGCAGCTAAGTTCGGTATATGCTTAGTTAACATCCTCGGTTTACAATCCGCTACTACAATCACTACCTGTGATCAAACAATCAGTACATTAATCAACGAGTCTATTAGAGTTCTTTTTGTCTGGGGTTTTAGAGTTTACCTGAAGTTGAACCGGAGGTTGTCTAGGGTTTTGTTGTTGTTGGTCACGAGTGTTTGCTTTCATCCTCTCAAGAACACGAGTAACTTCGTTGATCCCAATCGCAATTTGTTGCTGATTTTTCACATTGTTAATTTCAGGAAAAGAAAGTGAAAACAAAAAAAAAAACACTAACAAGACTAGTATAGTAAGTAAACCTTGAGCCATATCTTCTCAGGTAATGAGTTCACATTCAAAAGCTTCGATGTCTCAATTCCTCTATTACCCAAAGGAAGACAAAAAAAGTGAACTTTTTAACAAAAATC